AGATAGATAGATAGATAGATAGATAGATAGATAGATAGATAGATAGATAGATAGACAAAAACACAGACAGATAGATGCCAGAAAGATGATAGATAGATAGATAGATAGACAAAAACACAGACAGACAGACAGACAGACAGACAGATAGATAGATAGATAGATAGATAGATAGATAGATAGATAGATAGATAGAAACACAGACAGACAGATGCCAGAAAGATGATAGACAGATAGATAGATAGATAGATAGACAAAAACACAGACAGACAGACAGACAGACAGACAGACAGATAGATAGATAGATAGATAGATAGATAGATAGATAGATAGATAGATAGATAGATAGACTTACCTAGGCGTACCTGAATTACATAATGGTCTCTGTTGTGTTTTAAAATGCCGTTTCTCGATAGGCTACATATCACGCTTCTATGGATTTTAATTGGCTTCCTAAACGTCAATCACCATTATGCCCCGCCCACCTCATGCTCACCTCACCGCGGAACTCAAAACACAGTTCGAGGTTCAAACCTGAGCTGGAAGCCGTAAACTTAAAACCTGCGGTCTCCTCCACCTTCCGCTTTACTCTCGGATTACATCGGTGAGTCACGGACATTTCGTTCGCGATAACCTTCCCAGAAGCGAAGTTACCTAAGATCTGACTTCGGCAGGTAGAAGAAGTGCGATGGCGAATCCGGTGACAGTCACTTGGTCCAAAGTATAAATGTGCTGATAAGGCGTTTTTAGAAGTGGACCGTCAGTGACACTACCTGCCGACAGAGCCGCTGCGCCACGCTGTCACTCTGAACCTGGCAACCGCGGTAGGCGCTGAGTTTGTGTTCATTTTACGCACGGAGACATTTAAAGCTGTCTTTGAATTATCAAACAAGTCCTAGCTTGTTGTAAGAGAAGTATTGTAACTGTGATTCATAGGCACTTTTACTGTGGGAAACCTCTTAACAGTCAATGGATATACATCCGAGCATAAATATGATTATAAAAGTGCGTTTTGTTAATACTGCAGCCCTGATCACCAATCATCGCTTGTTGTTTGTTTTGAGTTTAGTGTCTGTCGTCTTAGAAACCCTTGAAAATGCTGTTTCCTGTTCTCATCATGGATAGACTGACTCATCGATGGGCCTAATTTTACGCCGCTTTTGATCTCAGGCGGCTTTGCAGTTCGTGTTGAGATGTTTAAGTTTTTTGTCATCGTCGCATCGCGTTGCTGTGGCAACGAAAAGGGATCCGCATCGAGTACAAGCGTTCAAGTGGCGCCTGGAATGCAATTTTTTTTGTGTGTAGTATAATCATTTTGTCCTTTATGTAGATTTTTTGTTGTTCATTTAATTGGGTATAACGTCAAATGTTGCTCCCCATAATTATTATCAAGCTGGCTATGGTGTAATGTGACTTTAGTGGAGCCAAGTTAGACTTTTTAAAATGTTTGTATTGACTTAAAGCGACAGTACACCCTAAAAGGAAACTTCTGTTTCTGTCGTCGTTTACCATATTGGTATGGCTTCCTTTCTTCTGTAGACAGAAAAGCATATGTTTGGTAGAACAGCCTCAAGTCACTATTCGCTTTCATCAGTTTTTTTTCTTTCTGTGCAATGAAAGTGAAAGGTAACTGAGGTTGCCATTCTGCTTACGGTCTTATTTTGTGTTCCACTTTAAGGTTGCAAAATGCAAATATTCTGTTGTATAATAGTTTTACCTCTCATTTTATGTAGTTTTAGTACCATTGATTTGGTTAATTATTTATTTTTAGACCACAAGAAACATTGTCAAACATTGTTCCCCATCATGTCATCACGATCACTGTGGTTTACTGGGATTTTTTCAGAGTGCTAAACTTTAGGCATTACATGTTTTGAATTGAATTATGTGGCTTATGGATTGTTTCACTAGGTTTGTTGTTTAAATGTACTCATACACAACCATAGGCTAAAGCAAATTGCTTTATATTTTACAGCCTAGGGCTAGGGATGGGCGATATGGGCTTTAAAATATATCACGATAATTTCTGATGTTTATTGCGATAATGATATCAATGACGATAATTTAGGGAATCCTGTTTCTTAAGAGAAAAGTATTCTCTTTCCTATTTTTACCCAAAATAGGGTGTTGTGAGCATTACTGAGTACACACGTAATGTAATGACTGTTTAATTCATACTGGAAGCCGGAGGGCACCCTTGCGCAGAAACTCCACATATGCATAGTAGAAGTAATGCTTCAGGATGGGCGATACCCCTTATTTTGTTTTCGATACGATACCGATATTTTTCAATGCAGTATCGTCGATATCGATACCGATTCGATACTTCTGCACTAAACTTTTAAATTATGAAATGTATTAAATTACTACGAGTAAAATAGATAATGAAAACCACTTAACTGTTTAAAATGCATTTTAACCCGTTTAATCCCAAATTTTTCCCAGACATGAAAATATCCAAATGATGTGTCATTAATAACCCTTTGAAATAATCAATAATTTTTTTTTTTTTGGAAAAGCGTGTGAAAATTTTTTATTTTATGGTCAGTCACAATTGTAACCCGTGGGATAATGTGTATACTGAATTAATATATTTCTGCAGTCTTAAAAATTGTTATATATCTTAGCCCAGCTATTTTAAACAGTTTGATCACATTCTAGCCAGGAAGAAGTATCTAGTGATCGCTGTAGCTGAATAAAACGCAGATAGATAAATTTTAACTGAGGAAACCTAAAGACAATAAACATGCGATTGCACAAAATATATGTTAACTAAGCGAGACATGCAAAATATGCAGAGCTGGGGGGCGTGAGGACAGGAATTGGGAACCGTACTTTAAAAGTACTACAATACCAGGAAGGAAGATCGGGTTGTTGATGTTTGTCTGCCATTCTCGCTCTGTGTGCACAGTGTGCGTGAACGCGCTGATGACGTATCCTGTCTGCGCGAACCGGGTGCGCAGAGGTATGCTAATACATACGTTGACAGGCAGGTAGGAAAGGCAATTAAAATGCTCGGACCGAGCGTTTTGATTGGACGGACATTTCTTGGCCCTATGCCTTCCACAGAATATATGAATACAGATAAATACATTTAGACCACTTAACTTAATGATTGCTATCGTGATGTGAAGAGACTTTCAACCAGCATAACAAAAAATGTTTCTGAAGACAATCACCTATTGCACATTTAATACACAGAGCCGTAGTTCACTGACAAGCTAGGCGATATCGCCTAATTGTCAGTGAACTACGGCTCTGTGTAGTGAATGCTGCTCCATCTGAAAGCAGGTGATGGAGATTTTCTACTAATCACGGGACCGGCTTTACTGACGAGATGCGCATGACAATCACATGCGATTAATTGCACAGTCCTATTACAGCCACACGATAGTTCATACAGATCATAGTTTAATAAAACATTTCAGTGACCTTTTTTCAGAGTTGGAAGTTAGATGGCAAATGTCATTTGAAGAAGTGAAGTAAATGACAGTCAAGTCACCTTTATTTATATCGCACCTAATACCGTAAACAGTACATTTTTTGGTTAAAGTCAGTTCGGCATTGATTCAGTGATGTCATTGATGATACACAAAGTTATGTAATTTGCTGTCTAACCAATGTACTTAATTTGCTAAACTTTAGTTGCCCCTGTGAGATCATGTTTACTAAATCATGTGACTGAAGCATCTTTCAAAGACCTCAAGGGTTATATTGGTTTTTCCCCTGAAGTCACTGACTTTGTCATCTGTACTTTTCGTTCGACCCTCACCCACAATAAGCTGTTCATTATTCAAGTCTAACAACCTTTACTCCTTTTAATCTAACATATGAGTTTGTATTTGTCATAACTGTATCTTCGATATGCTTTCCTTGGCCTTGGTCCCACTGTACAGCCCTCACACTATAGCCCATTTACTATAATGATAATGATTTACTATAAAGTTAATTATTGGTATTATAAAGAGCCAGTCCTCATATTTTGTGCATATTTGTGTGTGTGTACATTACTACTTACACCCACATTCTATTATTTCGCACTCCATTAAAGTCAGTATAGACAATGTCATTTTCCATTGATGGTTTTGCATTATTTGGCCCTACAACTAACTCTGACCGTACTGTGCTGGCGTTCTCTTCTCCTGTGTTTACATCATAGCTTACTCACCCTCATCAGACAAGACAACCTGTTCTCAATGTCACACATGCAAAGTTAATATACAAGTAAATATGTATGTCAGTAATTTAGGGCATTAAGGTTAAAGGGATAATTTACCCAAAAATTCTGTCATTAATCATTCACCGTTATTTCGTTCCAAACCCGTAAGACCTTTGTTTATCTTCAGAACACAAATTAAGATATTTTTGATGAAATCCGTGAGCTTTCTGACCCTTCATAGAGAGCGAAGTAACTGAAATGTTCCCAGACCAAGGACATCGGTAAAACAGTCCATGTGACATCAGTGGTTCAACTGTAATTTTACGAAGCTGCGAGAATACTTTTTGTGCACAAAGACACAAAAATAATGACTTTATTGTTTGTGAAAAAATAATGACTGTTTTTGCTCTATTTCGACAACAAAAATAAATTTAATATTTTTTTATAATTTTATTTTAATAAAATTTATAATTTTAATAATTCACCACACAGAATATGAAGAATATTAAAAACTTAGGAATCAGCTGACAACGGCAGTCCTTAAGATACCAGCACAATAATACACTCAGCAAAATATCATCTAATTATCATTATCGATAAAATCCCAGAAAATATCGAGATATCATTTTTTTTGTCAATATCGCACACCCCTAATGCGTCGTGGTACTCTCCATAATGGCGGAATTCGTATTTGGAGGAGAAGAATTGTTGAATAAAGTTGTTAATTTTGTTTTCTTTGTGCACAGGAATGTATTCTCATAGCTTCATAAAATTATGGTTAAACCACTATGTCACGTGTCTATATCACATAAACTATTCTATCGATGTCCTTGCAATGTTTCTGAGCCTGGGAACATTTCAGTTGCATTGCTGCCTATGCAGGGTCAGAGAGCTCTCGGATTTCATCAAAAATATCCTAATTTGTGTTCCCAAGATGAACAAAGGTCTTAAGGGTTTGGAACGACATGAGGGTGGGTAATTAATGACAGAATTTTCATTTTTGGGTGAACTATCCCTTTAAGACTTATGAATTAAGAAAAAAAACTTGAATCAAAGAATAAGCCCCCTTCTTTCTTCCACCCCAAAAGCCATACAGTAACAACACTTACACCCATATGCAAAGGAATTAAAATGGTTTTTGAAGGATCATGTGACACTGAAGACTGTGTGCTTTTTTTATGAAACATTATAACACTCAAGGCTGTGCAGAACAGTAATTTTATCCCACTTTGCGTCATGGCTAACTCCATTATCGCTGTTGCATTTGTGTGCTGTGGCTGTCTTTTGAATCTGTTCTCAGCATAATAATAGGAAAGAAAAGGGTTAAAGGAAAACCCTGCCTTTTTGTATTTGCATGTCTTCCTGACTCTCCCTTTGAAAAGAGACCGTGGGAGCCTATAATTGCACAAGGGACAAGGAAACTTATTTTGGAGAGTCTCCTTTCTAAAGTCTTGATTTGATGAGTTTATCACAAGAGATTTAGCAACACATTTCGACTGATTAGCAGAAATGCAAATAACCTAAAGTATATATTTAAAACCTAGCATGCAGGGTAAATCTGGCTGAGAAGTTTATAGTGTGTACAAACGTGGAGCTGCAAAGCCACAGGAATTAATTTTTCCCTAAACACCAACTGCATACTTCAGTCAGGGTTTAGACAAGTCTGCCTTTGCAAACTAAACAAAAATCAGACTTTGAGTTCAGTAACCTTGAGCTGGAGTTACTGGTATTTACATACAAATTCTCAAACACACTTTAATTAAAAAAGAAGCAAGTAAGTGAATGCCCTTGAATACTCGGAAACTTACTGTGAGTGTATGCGTGGAATAACAACATGTTTATCCTAAGGCTAGAGTGGCTCACATATACAAGAGGAGCTTTTGTGTGTGCGGTCTGTCTATTCACCACAAATTTGCTCTGGTGACTCATATCATGAGAATGACCTGAGCATTAGTAGTCTGTGGTGTCGTTCTCTCCTATCCACATGTTCCCAGTGCTTTTATCCTAAAGATTTTACAGTGTATGCAAATATGACACATGGATGTGTGTGTTGTTTGGCGTGGATGTATGGTAAAGTCATTTTTAGAGGTCTGTGGTCACTCTGAAGTAGTTTGCTGGTTGTGTTTGAGTGAGATATTTTGTTTGAGTTTGAAATGTGGTCCAGTCAGGTTCATTATTGGAGGTATCTGTACAGTGGCGTAGCGTCTGGGCATGCAGGGTATGCATGTGCATATGGGCCCGGGCAGTTCAGGGGCCCGCCGAGCTGGGGGGAACTTTTAATTGAAACGAGGGAACAAATAGAGCCCTCCATGGGCCCGGCCCTTCAACAGCTTATGAGAATTCTCCGCCCGAGTCTGACTGGATACCGTGACTTTTTTTTCTCTCTCTCTTCCCCATTACACAGCTATTAAAATAGTTCAGTTTTGGTTCTTAATGGCAAAGTGGTCATATTTATTTTTGTTTCTTTAAGTTAATTTAGAAATATGTTTGGAACATTTTATGTTTGTTAAATTCAAGTTTTTGTTTTTTAAAGGAACGACCAAGCGGCAGCGGCAGACATTGAGTTGAGCATTATGCGACGAGACAAAATCAATAAAACCTATTACAAACGAGACATTTGTTGCATCCAGTGGGGACATAATTACTGATTGTAATGACTTATACTGTCTTTTTACACTTTGCATAGCGTATTGCATTGCGAAAACATAAAACCATGTCTGCATTTGTGATCGGAGAAATGACAAACAATAAGCGCTACTCTACACTGCTCAAAACTCGCGTTTGAATCATCAGTGGCAAATTCTTTAAATATAAAAAACGTACTTACAGGCTGTGAGTCAGAAGCACCAGACTGTCCTTGCAAAGTTGGAACTGCCCCACTTTATAGAAACATTATGTCCTCTTTTGGAATGCCAAACAAAGTAGTTTCGCTTTCACAACGAAACACAAAGCGGCGTGAGCGGCGCCCGGCGGATTCAACAAAGGAGGCTTGCGGCAACCACATGTGACGACCCCGGGCTGGACTCTGCTTCGTCCACGGTGAAAGCCGATCCACAGCGCGAAGTTGATGTATTTCCTCAGCGAGCAGCACGGATCAGCTCTAGGCATGATGAAGCGGATTTCGTCCTCTTTTGGAAGGCCAAACAAAGTAGTTTCGCTTACACAATGAAACACAGCGCCTTCACGACATGGCTGCGGCGGCAACAATACTACAGCGAGAATAAAAGTTTTTCTTTCTCTCAAAGAAAGCCTTCTTTCTTTGTGTGAATATTTGGGTGGCGTAATGCAAATCTTCCCACATCGTGATGTAGACATGTGGGGGCGTGTTAAAACGAGGCGTTTTAGGAGGGCATGGACAAGTCTTAACTTTTATAAAGAATATCTCTTTGGATTTGAGACTTTAGTCTTTGCAACTTTACAGATCTTCTTTATGCACCAAGAGCTTGTAACACTCCAAAGAGAAAGGAAAAATTGAAATCGCATCATATGACCCTTTTAAAAGTTTTGGTTATTGATTGAAAGCCTGTTTCTTTGTTGTGGGAGAAACCACACATTTCTGCAGCATGCAAACAAACTCTTGTTTCAGAATGATTTAAACTCACTTTCAAGTTCGTCATTGCAAAAAGGTCACACATGAACAATCACGACACACTGCTGATGTAGATAAGCACTGTACTAGTTTTGTATCATATGCAACACAGACATATCTGTGCATGTTATCGTATTAAAAACATGTTTATGACCCTAAAATGTGATCTATTAAAGTTAAAATTTTAACTAAGTTCAAATTCAGAAAGAGAGAAACGTCAGCTGTTTTTGCTCTTAAATGCATACATGCGGGAGAGAGAAAGTCTGTGTGTGTGTGTGTATTTGAACATATTGCATGGTCCACTGAAAGAAGAAATGATAGGGGCACAAGAACAATCTGTGCCAAGTTTAGGACGTGCCCGTGCAGTCAAAACAATACGTTCTGTACACAAGTGCTCGCACACACACACACACACATACATACACATACACATACAGAGCTCAATTGAGGGAGAAAATGGTGTCTTCAAATGAAAAACAAGCCTGATAAATGATCTTTTTTTTTTCTTTCTTCAGGTCAAGGTTTTTCAAACTTTTTGGAGCCAAGGACATAAAGTATCAAGGCAGCTATTTGGATAATTTTGGATAAAAATTATGTTTGTGACGTTTAAATAATTGCCTTTTACATTTTACAGATCAAAATAAAATATTAAAATATTATCTTGATGACAAGTTTATTAAAATTAAAAATTAAAGCCTCCTGACTACCAGGAAAAAACAGTTTTGTGAATTTAGTATTTTGTCATGTCATTACATTGTTTAGAGCATAAGACAAATTTGAAAAATAAAATTTTTGAAAAATTATATTTTATTCATATGTTATGCCATGTCCTCTGTAGAAGACATCGGGACTTCATACAGAGCTCAATTGAGGGAGAAAATGGTGTCTTCAAATGAAAAACAAGCCTGATAAATGATCTTTTTTTTTTTCTTTCTTCAGGTCAAGGTTTTTCAAACTTTTTGGAGCCAAGGACATAAAGTATCAAGGCAGCTATTTGGATAATTTTGGATAAAAATTATGTTTGTGACGTTTAAATAATTGCCTTTTACATTTTACAGATCAAAATAAAATATTAAAATATTATCTTGATGACAAGTTTATTAAAATTAAAAATTAAAGCCTCCTGACTACCAGGAAAAAACAGTTTTGTGAATTTAGTATTTTGTCATGTCATTACATTGTTTAGAGCATAAGACAAATTTGAAAAATAAAATTTTTGAAAAATTATATTTTATTCATATGTTATGCCATGTCCTCTGTAGAAGACATCGGGACTTGAATAGACATGAAAAGGCAAAAACAGTAGGATTTTTGTTTTAATCAAATCAATTTTCATTTTTTTTATACCAAACTTTATATAAAGACGATTCTCGACTATGTTATGAAAGATATTTTTTAAAACCATTTTTCTTTATGCAAAATGTGTAAAATGGCCATAAAGAAGTTTTTCCGTTATATACAATGTATCTATAAACTGTATCTAATTTGCATATTAATGTGTTTTTGGGGCAACATAGAATGAACAAATAAGAGCATTAATGGGAGTAATAATTAGCAAGATTTTCATAATAATATCTAAAATTTTATAGGAATATTGATACATGATTTTTTTTCTCTATTCGTTTGTTGTGTCTCCCAAAATGTGTAATAAACATGCTTTAAGTCCTGGTGTCCTCTACAGTGGACGTCCTGTTTCATAACAGAAGGTCATATTTTGATTTGAAACCCCGTAACATTTTCCTGAGATGTTGATTTATGACAAACAATTTGAAAATTAGTCAGATTTAAATGATAATTACAAAATATTATCCATAAGGGTGTTACACTTGATCACTAAATTAATGTCAGCCATTTTTAAAGACCAAGGAGAGGGAGTGGTCATGGTGAAACATCCAATCATTTGGTATCTCTGAAAAGCCCTGAATGTGCTCTGTACAGAACATCCAGACTTAAAACTGTGACATGTAACGTCTCAGAGAAATCACTAAAACATAATGTCCTCTACAGAGGACAAAACTCCATAGCTGGTAGTCAGGAGGATATGAATATTTCATACTGGTCCTATGCATAATTTTTTCGTTTTATTTATTTTATTATTTATTTGTTATGCCTTTGTAATATTTTTATTCGTCTAACCTTTTTTTTTATATCAGGGACATTTTTCTTTTACATATTTGACTTTATTTTGTTTCTACCTGTATTTAAAATCTAAAAAAAAAGTGTGTTAAAGTGAAATTAAAATGTATTAATTTTTTTTTATTAAATTTAAAAATAATATCCAGAAAATATTTACTTTGCAAGTTGACTTTTTATGTTGTTCCTACCCACTATTACAAAAATGTAAGCTACATAAACTAAAATTTATATTGAGAGAAAAAAAAAGAAAGAATAAAGCAGATATTACATCTCATAACTCAGTTTATGTATGAAATATCTGAGAATTTGACACATGCTAATATGTAAATGACCTTCATTTACATTAGCACAGATTTCACAGATTTTCTTATTTCCTGAGTTTCTTTGCCTCACTCACTTGTTCTTGCCTGTGTCTCTGTTGCCCTCTGCTGGCCATATTATGTGATTCAGGTGCTGTAATTTTGTATTGAGTGTTGCCTGTTTTTGTCTCCACAGTAAGTTAATTGCAAGATGAGTACAGAAGACCAAATTGCACCACTGTCTCCCAAGACATCACCCTCCACACCAACCTTGACACCATTTACGCAACGAAAAGAGAGTAACTCCTCATCTGAAGGTAACAGACAGGTAAGACAAACCACTTCAGATATTTACTGAGGACTTAATTGATGTCTGCTAAAACATCTAGTGTGCAAATAATACATTTTTAATATAGCAGTGGATATGATGATCTTTTGACGCAGTTGGTATTTCTCTGTATGCTATGTATTAAATCAGCATCTACTGCAGCAGTTTTTAACTTCAGTTCTTCTTAGGAAAAAGTCCATGTTCTTTCTTCCATAAAAGACCAAGGAGAGGGAGTGGTCATGGTGAAACATCCAATCATTTGGTATCTCTGAAAAGCCCTGAATGTGCTCTGTACAGAACATCCAGACTTAAAACTGTGACATGTAACGTCTCAGAGAAATCACTAAAACATAATGTCCTCTACAGAGGACAAAACTCCATAGCTGGTAGTCAGGAGGATATGAATATTTCATACTGGTCCTATGCATAATTTTTTCGTTTTATTTATTTTATTATTTATTTGTTATGCCTTTGTAATATTTTTATTCGTCTAACCTTTTTTTTATATCAGGGACATTTTTCTTTTACATATTTGACTTTATTTTGTTTCTACCTGTATTTAAAATCTAAAAAAAAAGTGTGTTAAAGTGAAATTAAAATGTATTAATTTTTTTTTATTAAATTTAAAAATAATATCCAGAAAATATTTACTTTGCAAGTTGACTTTTTATGTTGTTCCTACCCACTATTACAAAAATGTAAGCTACATAAACTAAAATTTATATTGAGAGAAAAAAAAAGAAAGAATAAAGCAGATATTACATCTCATAACTCAGTTTATGTATGAAATATCTGAGAATTTGACACATGCTAATATGTAAATGACCTTCATTTACATTAGCACAGATTTCACAGATTTTCTTATTTCCTGAGTTTCTTTGCCTCACTCACTTGTTCTTGCCTGTGTCTCTGTTGCCCTCTGCTGGCCATATTATGTGATTCAGGTGCTGTAATTTTGTATTGAGTGTTGCCTGTTTTTGTCTCCACAGTAAGTTAATTGCAAGATGAGTACAGAAGACCAAATTGCACCACTGTCTCCCAAGACATCACCCTCCACACCAACCTTGACACCATTTACGCAACGAAAAGAGAGTAACTCCTCATCTGAAGGTAACAGACAGGTAAGACAAACCACTTCAGATATTTACTGAGGACTTAATTGATGTCTGCTAAAACATCTAGTGTGCAAATAATACATTTTTAATATAGCAGTGGATATGATGATCTTTTGACGCAGTTGGTATTTCTCTGTATGCTATGTATTAAATCAGCATCTACTGCAGCAGTTTTTAACTTCAGTTCTTCTTAGGAAAAAGTCCATGTTCTTTCTTCCATAGATTTTTAAAAAATAAAGATTTTTTCTTTCGTCGTCGTATTTTTTTAGGACAGCTGGGAGTTGGTTGAGGACTTGCGCGGACTGACAGGAAATATTCAGAAGCCTGAGAAGCGGGAAGGTTTGCTGTTGAAAAAGAGAAAGTGGCCCATGAAAGGCTGGCATAAGGTGATTACAAGATATTGTCATTGACTTTTTAATGGCTTTGAATACATGCATCTTTTCACCTTTTCTCTTTGTCTGTCTATGTTTAACAGAGATATTTCCTGCTTGAAAGGGGCATCCTTACATATGCCAAGACCGGGACTGATGTGAGTGTGAAACCCTGGTTTCATCCACACATTTTCTTCAAGGCTTATGTGGAGTAAAGTTGCTTAAATCCTGTCAGAGATGCTCTTTCATCCCTTATCGTGTGATTGATTCCTCAGCTGAAGAAGGGGAGGTTACGAGGTCGCATTGATGTTGGTCTCTCTGTCATGGCCATGAAGAAGAAGTCAATGTGTATCGACCTGGACACAGAGGACAGTATCTATCACCTCAAGGTATTGGCACACGCTCACCTACACATGCTGGGCTATGAATTGTAGTTAGTTACTCTCATTTTGAGAATGCACATTCTCATTTGCTGTATTTACCGTGACATTCACAGGCGAAGACTCGGGATCTGTTTGAACAGTGGGTGACGCAACTACGCCATCATCGAATGTTCCGTCAGAACGAGATCGCCATGGAACCTCCCGAGCGACAGCTGCAATCTGACCCCACCTCCAACAGACGAGTATTTACCCTCCTTATACAGTCATCAATCACGAGTGTAGTATAAAAGTCAGCCTTTAGACCCAACATCCCTTCAAACAGGATAAGAACCTCTAAAGCTGTAAGGAAGTTACAATAATAAGGAGATCCACCGATATGCTGAAATTTTGCCTGAAACAGTTCAGTTATTAAAATATGTCATGGCTGATATTGAGTTTTAAACTGTTCTGCCTTTAGAAGCATCAATAAAGTTTTCAAACTGGAATATTGGTTTCTTAAATCAAAACATCTTGATATATAATACGAAAAATTGCTTGTTTATGGTACTTGGCATAAAACAAGTTTGAATTTAAAGTAATAAGCATTTGCTCACAATATCATGTCACTAGGCTAAACACTTAAATAAAATCAATAATTACTGATGTGCATATTAATGTGCAATTACTGGGTTGCATATTGTGCACTCCTAATAACAACAACAGTATTAAACAACAGTAATATACTACTTTTAAGTGACAAAGACTTTAACATTGTTACAAAAATGTATATATATCTTTTAATCAATTCTGTTCTTTTGAATTTTCAATTCCTCAAAGAATCCTGAACAAAAAGTATCATGATTTCCACAAAAACGAAGCATCACACATGTATTTAATATTTATCATAAAAAGCAATGTTTCTTGAGCAACATATTAGAATTCAGCTTTTCCATCACAGGAATAAATTACATTTTAAAATATATTAAAATTAGTGCTGTCAAACGATTAATCGCATCCAAAATAAAAGTTTTTGTTTGCATAATATATGTGTGTGTTCGGTGTATATTTATTATGTATATATAAATACACATGCATACAGTATACATTTTGAAAATGTTTACATGTATTTACATGTCTATATTTATATTCATATAATTTATATTATATTGTGTATTTATATAAACACAATAAATATACACAAAACACACACATATATTATGTAAACAAACTTTTATTTTGGATGCGATTAATCGTTTGACAGCACTAATTAAAATAGAAAAAAGTTATTTTAAATTGCCACAATATTACTGTTATTACTGTATTTATGATCAAATAATCTTGGTGAGCATAAGAGACTTCTTTCAAAAACATTGAAATATCTTAATGACTCCTAACTTTTCAAAGATAGTGTAACTCGTTATTTCCAGATGAAACAGAAAGTCACACAGATTACATATTTTGTATTTTATTCTCTTTATTACCAGCGTTTATTTCTCTCCAAGCAGCCTTCAGCCCTTTTGAAGAATAGCTGGTGCCAAAACTCACAAGACATGGAGAAGTGCTGCAAAGGTAGATGCAAAAACCTGCACTGACACATCATTCTGAAATATTATTCATGGCAAAAGTACTGTACAACTAATACATAGAGAACATTTTAGAGAAGTGGTTTTCCTGAGCATCACTAAGAAAATAAAAATGGTAACTTTTTTTTTTAGATCTGTCAGAGTGTGAGTCAGGGCTGCTGGAATTAAATCTGCTGCTGAAAAATATGGAAGTTCTTCACAGAACATTCTCAGCACCTGCCATTAACTTACTGCAGGTAGGGCTGTTTGGATTAAATATGCGTTTATGTTTTGGTCTGTGTGGGTGGGTTTATTAAATCTTATAAAACGTTAATTTGAGGACATCCAGATGAATCCTAAATAGCAATTTCTTGTATAACAAAATTTACACTGTTTGGGTTTGGTTAGATTTATGATTTTTTTTTTTAAGAAATCTTATCGCTCATTATTTAGACAAAAAAAGTAATGTGTGTGTGTGTATATATATATATATATATATATATATATATATATATATATATATATATACACACACACACAGTGGGCAAAAAGAAGGTAAAACACATGAATTTCTTACTGATCATATTTTGTATTTTTTGTGACCAGGTGTCCGATGATGATTCGTACATCAGTGATGTGAGTGACAGCACGTCAGTAGAGTATTGCAGGAATGAGAACGGCATCACAAAGGAGATTTTAAGTGAGGCACTGTCCAAATTCACCTTTATGAAGCTTCACCTTTCTTTATAACCATTGTTAATGGTTTGTGTGTGTTTTTGTGTCTTCAGGTAATGGCAATGACTGCACAGTGACGCGGCGAGACCGTTTGCCGAGTTCACGTATGAACGAGAGCGTGAATCTGTGGAGTATTCTGCGTAGTAACATAGGTAAAGACCTGTCGAAAGTTGCCATGCCTGTTCAACTCAATGAGCCCTTGAACACCCTGCAGAGACTGTGTGAGGAAGTTGAGTACTGCCACCTGCTGGACACCGCTGCAAACACACACGACCCACATATGCGCATGGTGAGAGCAATCAAATGAGTCGTTATTTACTCATTCTCATGCCATTCAGTATGACTTTCTGTCTTCAAAATAGTTTTTTGTTTAAAGGAATAGTTGACTCAACAATTTAAATTTACTGAAAATGTACTCGCCCTCAGGTCAATCAAGATGTAGATGAGTTTGTGTCTTCATCCAAACAGATTTGAAGAAATTTAGCATTACTTCACTTGCTCACCAATGGATCCTCTGCAGTGAATGGGTGCCGTCAGAATAAAAGTCCAAACAACTGCTAAAAACATCACAGTAATCCACACTCATCCAGTCCATCATTTAATGTCTTGTGAAGTGAAATGCTGTGTGTTTGTAATAAACAAATCCATTATTTTAATCCATTTTTTTTTTTTTTTTTAATTTCTAAAATCTCTTCTATCCATAATCATTGCCTTCTCTGGTGAAAAAGCGGTCTTGTCTGAATCAGGAGAGAAATATGTCCAGATCAAGCATGATTTATAAGTGCAAACCGTTCTAAACAAATATGTTGGTGGATTTTGAGGGGGCAAAGAGGGGTGGACTTTTTCAATGGAGGAAACATTATAGATTATGGATGGTTACGAAGTGATGCTTTAAAGTTAATACACTTTAGTAATGGACATGCAGCTTTTCACTTCACAAGATGGTAATTGGTGGACTTGATGGTGTGGATTACTTGTAGATTAATGTGTTGCTTTATCAACTGTTTGTACTCTCATTCTGACGGCACCCATCCACTGGTGAGCAAGTGATGTAATGCTAAAGTTCTCCAAATATGTTCTAAGGAAGAAACAAACTCATCTACATCTTGGATGGCCTGAGGGCAAGAGAATTAAAAAAAAAAAAAATCGGTTTTGGGTGAACTATTCCTTTAACCATATATTCTGTTCTTCTCTGTAGGTGTATATAGCAGCATTTGCTGTATCTGCATATGCGTGTTCGTTCACTAGAGCAGGAGGAAAACCGTTTAATCCTATACTGGGAGAGACATACGAGTGTCTCCGGCCAGATAAGGGCTTCCGCTTCATTGCTGAACAGGTAAGCATGCACATTTCTTTTATTTCTACCAAAACACAAAGGTATGCACGCTCGCATGAGCAGTTACATTGTGTACCTCAGGTCAGTCACCATCCACCTGTGTCCACTTGTCACTGCGAGTCCAAAAACTACACATTTTGGCAAGGTAAGTGAAGCACACTTGGCTAGTGTCAAGCCTTTTAGCATTTAACATGATTTTAATGTCTATCTCTGTATGCCCATTAGATGTCCGGTGGAAGAATAAGTTTTGGGGAAAATCCATGGAAATCGTTCCCATGGGATTTACTCACTTAGAGCTGCCAGGGTGATTTAATTTTATCCTGAATTGTTCTGATTCCCATTCGCTTCCATTATTCCATCCTGCACTGGTATACAAAATATATGTTTGAAAGAAACTGTCTCAATTAATGATTGTGTAATGCATGGAAATTTCTTGTCCTCCTTTTCTGCATATGTTTGTTAAAGAGAGTGCGTGATAGTCTACATGTGCTTCTTGGTGTGCCTGTTACACTTGATAACGGTTCCATTTCACTGTGTGTGTGTGTGTGGTGTTTCAGATGTGATAAACACAACATTTCTTTCAAGACTTTAAACGAATCGAGGACTGTTGCTTTCAGAGGACTGGGAATGGATTGCATCAGTGTATGACTGACCACATGTTTTGTTGCACAATAAATGTAGTGACCACAAATCTAAGGAACGTTCCCCGTTTTATTATACAGACGCGTTTGGATATTCACTTATTGCTTAACTTTTATGACGATGGTCGGTTTTTTTTCTTTTGTATTTTGTTTTCTTTTTATTTTACTACAAGCTTGAATTAGTAGGAAAATATATTAGAATTAGATATCATGATGAACTTTGAAGGGATTGTTAGCAGGGTTTACTAATGGGAACTTTGCTTTACCATTGAATGGCTGGTGGGATTGTGTAACACTAGAAAGATCCGCTTTCTAGACATGATGGACTATTTTCATTCAGGTTTATTTTTAATGGAAGTCATTTCATAAACACATACACGCACAATGAACGTCACTGGTGTTTTCCTGGCCAGCAGCCATTGCTATCTAATTCATGTTTGACTCTGATATCCAAACTGAATTATGAAGCAATGACATAAACCAGCGTTACAACAACTGCCAAATCTGAAAAGGCAAATTGTTGTATTTGAGTTGCTATTTGAAGTGTTCAAATGTTACTCGGTTGTTCACTCAGCTAGCTTGAAACAGCTAGAAAGTATAGAGTATATTTAGTGGGTACATTGTAGCAACCTTACCACAGCTTCCCTTATGATTGTAACTATGTGTAAATTCCCAAGAAAGCTAAGAGCTCTCGGGGCCCTATCTCTTTTGTGACTCCAAGGCCATTTTGTCCACAACGATAGGCTATTTGAAAAGCCTCTAGTCCTGGTTATGTTACTCCTAGATTCTTTAAATAAAAATGTATCTAAAATAATTGCAACCGAAATTGAAACTGTTTAGTTATTTAAAGTCAGTGACTTGGAAAGATTACTTTGGAAATGTAATGGATTACAGATTTACAAGTTACCCTATTTAAAATGTAATAGCCTAAGTAGTGTAACTATTTCAATAACCTTATTAAAGTAATGTAACTAATTACATTTGATTACTTTTCTATATTTCTAACAAATAATTTGTTGAATCATTATTAAACATTTCAACCACTAGTACTCAACACTGATTACTGTCAGACCTGTAAAAATCCTTCATCACTTGAATTAAGATTATAAAAATGCCATTTTAAAGCACAGCCACCACACAATCAGACTTTAGCACATCTTTTTATTCATTAAACTGAGGTTAAATAAAGATTTAAAATCATAAGATATAGCCTAGTAGTTTAATAGCTATAGGCACTGTTCTTGAAATCTTTGCATAGCTATGACAGGAAACAGTTAATCTTAAAAAATAAAACATAGCCTACATAAATCCAAATAGGAAATAAAACAGTAGTCGAATAAGCATGTGTCCTAAACTCCTGAACACTGGTGTCTCACATTTTAGAGCAGTCAATGCAATTTGGGAAAGAAATTAATCAAATCTGTATGTGTAAATCTGTAAAAATATTCAGATGTAACCCCTTTTGTAATCGTAAATTTTTTTACAAGTAGCCTAGCTGTAATTTAATTACACTTTCTTTTTCAGTAACTGTAACAGATTACAGTTACATTTATTTTGTAGTTGAATTACGTAATTCCTTTACATGGAACTAGTTACACTGTTTAAAGTTAAATTAATGTAAAGAAAAGCAAGGCTGACGGACGGTGTTCTGAGACTGAGAACTACAATCTGTAAAAATATTCAGATGTAACCCCTTTTGTAATCGTAAAATTTTTTACAAGTAGCCTAGCTGTAATTTAATTACACTTTCTTTTTCAGTAACTGTAACAGATTACAGTTACATTTATTTTGTAGTTGAATTACGTAATTCCTTTACATGGAACTAGTTACTCCCCCACACTGTTTAAAGTTAAATTAATGTAAAGAAAAGCAAGGCTGACGGACGGTGTTCTGAGACTGAGAACTACACACAGCCCTGTTGAAAAAAACAGCATATGCTGGTTAGGTATGTTTTAACACTGGGATGCTGGTTTAAGCTGGTCCTTTGCTGGTTTAAACTGGTCCTTTGCTGGTTTAAACTGGTCCTTTGCTGGTTTAAACTGGTCCTTTGCTGGTTTAAACTGGTCCTTTGCTGGTTTAAACTGGTCCTTTGCTGGTTTAAACTGGTCCTTTGCTGGTTTAAACTGGTCCTTTGCTGGTTTAAGCTGGTCCTTTGCCAGCACATGACCAGCATAAACCAGCATCCCAGCGTCAAAACATACCTAACCAGCATATGCTGGGTTTTTTCAACAGGGAGTGCTGCTTCCGCCCTGCGTATGGACAGTTTGTGCCGCTTCCGCTCTGCAAATACGTGTAGTGTAAAACATATAGCATAATATATAGCATACATATCTATGGTGTGAAACGGGTGTGACCCTCATCATAACATCTTCGCTCTTCATCTGCACAAAACATGTCCTACTTCATCATTACCAAACCGCAGCTTTTGTTTATACAAATAACCCATCACCTCATCACATCCAATGTTGTTTTATCACGTCTATTTATTTGTTTGCCATTCTGTAGCTACGCTGCATTCAGTCAAAAACATTATTCTGGATTTTAAAACTGCTAACAAAGCATCCCAACGGTTGATCACGGGTTTATAATAAATGATTCATTTGAACTCATCTTCGTTAGTTCATTTATTTGTTTGAATGATTGTTTACAACCCATCTAGAAAAGCTAGCTACTAAACAAAAACTGGCTTTAAAATTCACTCACTTTACTTTAGTTGCGTTCATATGATTCCGATTATGGAAGACAAACTTGAGCCAGAAACCAAAATATGAATGTAAATCTCCTGAAGTTCAGCACCGCCTCCTCCTCCTCACAGACAGTCCAGTAAACGCGATGCTTTCGCATTACGTGTGAGGGGACTTTCAGGGGGCGAGGAGACGTTTAAATGTGCGTGCAGTTGCTGATTGTTTTGCACTTTCTGACACGAGAACTGTGGACTCAGTCTCTTTAAAAAATCATAATCTAGCGCTGTTTCCACTCTCTTTTGGCTGTGGATCTACAGCGCATCGCCAGCAAACTCTTAACAGCGACAGGTGTGTATTTATAAACGAATTAAAAAGATCTAATCTGTATAATCTTACGCATGATCACAAGATTTGATGCTGGACTGAATGACTTTGTGTATTTGTGAATTTAACAGTGCCCATGTTCATGTAAAGCCAGTGGCAAAAGTCTGGAAATGAATGCTGCTCTTTTGTGACTAAAGTTGTATGAACATAATCTAGTATGTTTGAAGAACAACATCCATTTTGCCCATTGCTTGTGCTCCATCTTTGTAAATAAATGATGTGAAAATAGAAATGAAGGAATTTGAGCAGGGGTCTTCAACCTTTTTCAGGTCAAGAATGGACTCTATGGAGGTAGAGAGATGGAGCAGGGACCGCTTAGTTGTATTAAACTGAGTGTTGTATGTCAATCTAGTTTACATTAACATGCATATTCAAAGTACTTTCTAACTAGAATAATATGCTACTGTTGGGGTAAGTGTAGCATGATTTATAACTTTTAAAGGGATAGTTCAAGTTCTGTCATCATTTACTCACTTTCATTTTGTTCCAATGACCTTTTCTTTCCAAAAAAAATTTTAAAAATGTGTTGGTCTTTCTTTCATCTCAATGAATGAAGACTGAATATGTCAAGCTTCAAAAAGATGCAAAAGCCCCATTGTGCAAAATATCATCTTTTATGTTCAGTAGAACAAATAAGGTCAAACAGGTTTGGAACAACATGAGGTTAGTAAATAATGACAGAATTTTACTTCTAGGTGAAACAACATTATTCTAGAGAGTTTAACATCATTATTCATAACTCTGTAATGCTGTTTAATAAACACAACTGTCACTATAGACTCACTGGCCCATTATCAGGGGAATTTCACTGACTGGAAGCTCCTAAATTAAAAATACCCTAATTTCCTCCAAGTTTAAGCCCCTTAGAGCAGTAGACCAAAAACGTTTTATTCTGTAAGCATGATGAACCATATCTGTAACACCTACAAGCCACCATCTGCAATGCAGAGATGCAGTTAAAATGCTATTTTTAGCCCTTCTCAGCAGTCCATGACATCTTAATTCTTTGTGAGATTAAACTCACTTAATCCATGCAATTCATATTCATCTATTCTATCTTCTGTTATTTGTTTCTGTTTTTGGTATTACTTCATGATTTTGGCATGAGGAGAGAACTTCTCACTAACCACTGTGTACACATTTTGGTGTATTTTTGGGGGGTTTATTATGTTTGGTATCTGCTGTGGAATGGTTTGCATATGTTATGATATTTCCGTGGTTTCACAACTAATAAAGGATTATGTAATCTAAATTAATGTATATTTGGGAATAAACAGCAATTCAGTTACTGCTTTTATACAGTTTGCATCCATCATTAGGAACCATGCTTGAGAAAGTCAGTGAAAGTGTTCACTTTTTCCACTATGGTTTAATGCTGTCTGTTTATGTTTATGCAGACGATGTTTGAAAAAGCGACAAAGAAGCTGGTCCAACAGATAGATCCGAAGGGTGCTCTGATTGCGGCTTCCAGCCTAAATAATTCCAAAAAACTAAAGCCTCTTGCGGTGGTGCAGAAAATCCAGAAAGGCTGGTTCTGGCAGCAAACTAAATACAAACCCACAGAATTCAAACTCAATGACCTGCTGGAAGGGGATCCAATTAAACCAGGTAAAGTGCATAGTGAATAAGTACGTTTGATGTTTGAA